AACCGACTTAACCATCACAAGACTATTCATACGGGAGACAAGCCGTACGTCTGTGATTGGCCCGAATGTGGCAAACGGTTCCGCGTTATTACCAATCTTCGGGAACACAAGAATGTCCACTCAAATCTGCGGCCGTACGCCTGCCATTGGCCGGGCTGTAGCTATAGATGTAGTAATAGCGGCAATTTGGCCAAACATGTCAAGCAATCGCATCCAAACAAATGAGTTGTTTGTGATATAATTTGTAATTTATAATATAGTGTACATTTTATTGCCGGTATTATTTTATAACTTTATGTTTATAATTAAATAAATTATTAATTTATAAATTACAAAGTTTTTAATATGCTTTCAATGCCACTATTGGTTGCAATGAAGTGTCGGTCCCTTTGTGTGAGTGGTTTGTAAACAATGTTTTGCAGACAAAACTGATTTTGATATGAATTATGGCTTTAAATGGAGTTATGATTAAAATTAATGATATTTTCGATGATTTAAGGCATGAAAACAATAGACTATTCAATGAGTTATTGTTTGCAAACAATTATATCAATGCTTTGAATGCATTCAAAGACCACTTGTTTGCCATTTATTGCAAATGCGATACTAATGTCACCGAAGAAGACAAAGAACTCATCACTGCTTTATCGGATCAGTTGAAGACATTAAGAGCTGTTCACCAAAAGAAGACAATAAACAATGGGAACCCGATGTCTGTTATCGATGTGACAGATGGTCAGCAAACGAGTCGATCAATTGATCACAAAAACGCGATACGAAAGACATCCGAAGAAGACAATGAAGACTCGGACGAGACATATGTCGACATTAAACCGATGCCGAAGACAACAGAGACTGCCATAAGTAAAATGAAAACACAATTCAAAGTAAACAAACTGAAAGTCAATGGAAAAAGTCTACAAAACGTAATCAATCGGTTGACCACAAAGTCCTCGAAGACGAGCGACAATCGCGGGACAGACCGTTGTTTTCGGTGCCAATACGATGACTGCGGGGCGACCTTTCGCTCCAAGTGGGAAGTGGGCCGACACGTGACCAAAATCCACGGCAATCCGGCGGCCGAAGCCGTACGCCAACAGCGGCTGCAGAACCAGAAGTGTTTCGATGCCATCACTCAGTCATACGTGTGTCCGCACGCGGACTGCGGCGGCAAATCATACGCCACGCTCGCGAAGTTCAGGCAACACAAGCGACGCGTCCACTCGACCGCACTCTACCCGTGCGACAAGACGTTGAAAACAGGCAAACAGGTAACTGAGCACCGGATGACACACACCACCGATAAGTCCTACCGGTGTCCACACCCGGGCTGTGCGTACGCCTCCGCTTTTCCCCATCATCTGACACAACACTCGGTCATACATTTGGCCGATCGACCCGTTTATCGGTGCGAAGAGCGGGACTGCGGCCGCACTTTCCGCACACAACTCGGTCTCAAAAATCACACGAACGCCGAGCACACGGCCGGCGATCTCACTCAACGGCTCCGGTGTCTGCAGCCGGGCTGCGACAAGAGCTACACCTCGAGTACACACCTGCGCACACATATGGCCACTCATTGCGCCGAACCGACTCTTCCGTGTCTGTATTGCTCAGAGCTGTTCCGCTCGGAGTGGTATCTGAAGAAACACATGACAACTGTTCACAAACACAAACCATATGTCCAGAAACCTGCACCGATCCACGCGTGCGAATGGCCCGGTTGTGACTATAAGGGCACTCGACTTAAGCATCACAAGACTATTCATACCGGAGATAAGCCGTACGCCTGTGATTGGCCCGAATGTGGCAAACGGTTCCGCGTTATGGAAAATCTTAAGGACCACAAGAATGTCCACTTCAATCTACGGCCGTACGCCTGCCATTGGCCGGGCTGTCAGTACAGCTGCAGTAATAGCGGGAATTTGGCCAAACATGTCAAGCAATCGCATCCAAACAAATGAGTTGTTTGTGATATAATTTGTAATTTATTAAATATTTTACTTTAGATTTTACTGTACTTTAGATTTTATAATTTTATTTATAATGAAATAAAATCATTAATTTATAAATTATAAAGTTTTTAATATGCTTTCAATGCATAAATTAATGCATTGAAACTATTGGTTTCAATGAAGTGTCGGTCCCTTTGTTTGATTGATTTGTAAACAATGTTTTGCAGACAAAACTGATTTTCATATGAATTATGGCTTTAAATGGAGTTATGATTAAAATTAATGACATTTTCGATGATTTAAGGCATGAAAACAATAGACTATTCAATGAGTTATTGTTTGCAAACAATTATATCAATGCTTTGAATGCATTCAAAGACCACTTGTTTGCCATTTATTGCAAATGCGATAATAATGTCACCGAAGAAGACAAAGAACTTACCACTGCTTTATCGGATCAGTTGAAGACAATAATTGCAATCAACCAGAAGAACAAATCACTCAATGATAACCCGATATCTCTTATCGATGTGACAGATGGTCAGCAAACGAGTCGATCAAAGGCTCATAAAAAAGTGAATCGAAAGACACCCGAAGAAGACAGTGAAGACTCGAACGAGACATATGTGGACACTAAGTCGATGCCGAAGACAACAGAGACTGCCATAAGTACAACGAAAACACAATTCAAGTCAAACAAACTGAAAGTCGATGGAAAAAGCCTTCAAAAGGTAATCAATCGGTTGACCACAAAGTCCTCGAAGACGAGCGACAGTCGCGGAACTGACCGGCGTTTTCAGTGCCATTACGATGACTGCGAAGCGACCTTTCGCTACAAGTGTGAAGTGGACCGACACGTGACCAAAATAAACGGCAACCCCGCGGCCGAAGCTGTGCGCCAACAGCGGCTGCAGAACCAGCAGTCCTTCGATGCCATCACTCAGTCATACCTGTGTCCGCACGCGGACTGCGGCGGCAAATCATACGACACTCACGCGAAGTTCAGGGCACACAATCGACTCGTCCACTCGACCGCACTTTACCCGTGCGGACACGACGGCTGCGACAAGACGTTCAAAACACGTAAACAGATAGCGGAGCACCGGATGACACACACGATCGAAAAGTGCTACCGGTGTCCACACCCGGGCTGTACGTTCGCCGCCACTCTTCAGAAATATCTGAGCCAACACTCGGTCACACATTTGGCCGATCGACCCGTTTATCGGTGCGTAGAGCGGGACTGCGGCCGCACTTTTCACACACAACTCGGTCTCAAACAGCACGTGAACGCCGAGCACAGCGCGAACCCTACGGAGCGGCTCCAGTGTCCGCACCCGGGCTGCGACCGGAGTTTTCTCCAGAACACACACCTGCGCACACATATGGCCACCCATTGCGATGTACCGACACTGCCGTGCAGTCAATGCACGGAACTGTTCCGCTCGGAGTGGTATCTGAAGAAACACGTGGCGACTGTTCACCAAAACAAACCGTATGTGAAGAAACCCAAACCGATCCACGCGTGCGAATGGCCCGGTTGTGACTATAAGGGCACTCGTAATCTACTCAACTATCACAAGACTATTCACACGGGAGACAAGCCCTTCGTCTGCGATTGGCCCGAATGTGGTAAAGGGTTTCGCCGTATGACTGATCTTAAGGACCACAAGAATGTTCACTTCAATCTACGGCCGTACGCCTGCCATTGGCCGGGCTGTCAGTACAGTTGCAGTAGTAGAGGCAATCTGGCCAAACATGTTAGGCAAAGCCATACAACCAAGCAAAATCAACGATTGTTATTGTAATCAATCGCCTCTTATAAATTAGCAGTTTAATTACAGTTACATTTATATCTACCTTAATGTCGGTAATTAAGCCGAACATGTAATGCAAAATATAGATGAGTTGTTATATCATGATTTATGTCTGCATTTATTTATACTGAATTTGTAATCAAACAAATGTTTATTCATTCATTGATTTAATAAATGATTAAATTATATATCTTTTTCAATTTATATCCATTAAAATAATTTATAAATTAATATGTAATGAATTGAATTGCAATTGTATTGCAATGAATCGTCGGTCCCTTTAATTGAGTCTTCAATACTTTTGTAACAGTTTTGTCAATAAAAGTATTTACAATTGATTTTGCAGTGAATTATGGCTTTAAATGGAGTTATGATTAAAATTAATGATATTTTCGATGATTTAAGGCATGAAAACAATAGACTATTCAATGAGTTATTGTTTGCAAACAATTATATCAATGCTTTGAATGCATTCAAAGACCACTTGTTTGCCATTTATTGCAAATGCGATACTAATGTCACCGAAGAAGACAAACAACTCACCACTGCTTTCACGGATCAGTTGAAGACATTAAGAGCTATTCACCAAAAGAAGACAATAAACAATGAGAACCCGATGTCTATTAGCGATGTGACAGATGGCGAGCAAACGAGTCGATCATATGATCACAAAAGACACCGAAAGACACCGAAAGAAGACAATGAAGACTCAGACGAGACATATGTCGACAATAAACACAAAAAGTTGTTGGAGAAGAAGCCGAAGACAACGATAGCGTCGATGAAAATTAAATTCAAAGCAAACAAAACGAAAGTCGAGGCAAAAAGTCTTCAAAAGGTGATCAATCGGTTGACCAAAAAGGCCAACAATAGCGGCACTGATCGGCCGTTTCGGTGCCAATACGAGGACTGCGAGGCGGGCTTTCGCTCCTTATCTCATCTCAACCGACACGTGACCAAAATCCACGGCAATCCGGCGGCCGAAGCCGTACGCCAACAGCGGCTGCAGAAACAGCAGTGTTTCGATGCCATCACTCAGTCATACGTGTGTCCGCACGCAGAATGCGGCGGCAAATCTTACGACACGAACACCAAGTTTAGCCATCACTTGCGTGTCGTCCACACATCGGTTCGGTATCCGTGCGGACACGACGGTTGCGATAAGTCGTTCAAAACGCCCAAACACTTGGACACACACCGGGCGACACACAGCCCGGATAAGTCCTACCGGTGCGAACATCCCGGCTGTTCATTCACGGCGTCGCTCCACAAGTATCTCCAGCAACACTCTGTCATTCATTTGGCCGATCGGCCCGTCTATCGGTGCTTTGACACGGAATGTGCGATAGAGCTACAACACGCCGGCCGGCCTCAGACAGCACGTGAACAACGAGCACAGGTCAACCGATATGGCCCGACGGCACCGGTGTTCGCACCCCAACTGCGACCGCAGTTACGTGACTCGTCAGCGGTTAAAGAGCCATATGGCCAGCCATAGCGCCGAACCTACTCTACGGTGCGGTCGCTGTCAGGAGCTGTTCCACACGGAGTGGTATCTGACGAAACACGTGAACACTGTTCACCTCAACAAACCCATGGTTCAGGGCTTTAAGCCGATCTACCCGTGCGAATGGCCCGGTTGTGACTATAAGGGCACGCGAACGGCGCTCCGCAATCACCGTAATCTTCATACGGGCGACAAACCATTCGCCTGCGATTGGCCCGAATGCGACAAACGGTTCCGACTGGCGGCCACTCTTCGCGACCACAAGAATATACATTACAATCTGCGGCCGTACGCCTGCCATTGGCCGGGCTGTCAGTACAGCTGCAGTAATAGCGGCAATTTGGCCAAACATGTCAAGCAATCGCACCCAAAGTGAATGAATCTCAAGATATCTTGTAATTTATTAGACATTTGTGTAAATATTATTTTTAATTCAGGTTTTTATTGAGTTTGTATTTTTAAATTATTTATTTTTGTAATTATTATAATTTAATAAATGATTACTTTTTATACTCTGTTTAGTTTTTATATGTTTTCACTGCAATGCATATAATGTGTTATGCATTGCAGTGAAGTGTCGGTCCCTAAGAGTACGTGTTGTGTAAACAATGTTTGACAACAAATCTGTTTGAATTGATTTTGTAGTGAATTATGGCTTTAAATGGAGTTATGATTAAAATTAATGATATTTTCGATGATTTAAGGCATGAAAACAATAGACTATTCAATGAGTTATTGTTTGCAAACAATTATATCAATGCTTTGAATGCANTGAATTATGGCTTTAAATGGAGTTATGATTAAAATTAATGATATTTTCGATGATTTAAGGCATGAAAACAATAGACTATTCAATGAGTTATTGTTTGCAAACAATTATATCAATGCTTTGAATGCATTCAAAGACCACTTGTTTGCCATTTATTGCAAATGCGATACTCATGTCACCGAAGAAGACAAAGAACTTACAACTGCTTTATTGGATCAGTTGAAGACAATCATCGCAATCAACCAAAAGAAAAAATCACTCAATGATAACCCGATATCTCTTATCGATGTGACAGATGGCCAGCAAACGAGTCGATCATATAATCACAGAAACGCGATACGAAAGACACCCGAAGAAGACAGTGAAGACTCGGACGAGACATATGTCGACAACAATCAGAAGAGATCTAAGAAGAAGACAATCGAAACCAAAGTTGAGAGAAAAAGTTTATTAAAAAGTCTATTAAAAGGCAATAAAAAACGCAAACATTTGGCTAAAGAGACGACAAATACAGCCTCCAGTCGGCCGTCGCGATCGTCAGCGACGGCCACCGGACGGACACAATACCTGTGCCGACACTCGGGTTGCGGCCAATCATACGACCGGATGTCACACATGCGCCGGCATTACATCAGTCACATGACTGACCGGCCGTTTCGGTGCGAATACGAGGATTGCGACGCCGTTTACGACTACAAGTATCTTCTCGGCCAACACGTGACCAAAACGCACGGCAACCCCGCGGCCGAAGCCCTGCGTCGGCGACGGTTGGAAAACGAGCAGTGTTTCGATGCCATCGTCGAGGCCTACGTGTGTCCGCACGCCGTTTGCGGCGGCAAATCATACGACACGCGCACGAAGTTTACGGGACACTTGCGTATCGCTCACCCGTCGGTTGAGCACCGGTGCGAACGCGACGGCTGTCACAAGACATTCAAATCGCGCACAAAACTCCTGAAGCACGAGATGACCCACCAGTCGATGAAGCCCTACCGGTGTCCACACCCGGGCTGTACGTACGCCACGGCCGACAAAGACAATCTCAATCGGCAACACATGATCATTCATTCGGCCGATCGGCCCGTCTATGCGTGCGAAGAGATCGATTGCCCGAAGACTTTCCGTACGGCACAGGGGCTCAGGAATCACGTGACCGCAGAGCACAGCGGTCTCGAGCGCCAACAGTTCCCGTGTTCGCACCCCAACTGCGATCGGGTGTACGCCTCCGGTCAGCGGCTGAAGGTTCACATGGCCTCACATTTAGCCGAACCGACGCTACCGTGCGGTCGGTGTTCAGAGCTGTTCCGCACCGATTGGGAGCGCGAGAAACACATTAAGACGGTTCACCTCAACAAACCGCTGTACTCGGCCTCCAAGAAGGACTACGCGTGCGAATGGCCCGGATGTGACTACAAGGGCTCCCGACGCGCGGTTGCCAATCACCGCACACTTCATACGGGAGACAAGCCGTACACCTGTGATTGGCCCGAATGCGGCAAACGGTTCCGTTTGGAGGCCAATCTTAAGGACCACAAGAATATACATTACAATCTGCGGCCGTACGCCTGCCATTGGCCGGGCTGTAGCTATAGGTGTAGTAATAGCGGCAATTTGGCCAATCATCTCAAGAAATCGCATCCAAACAAATGAATTTTGTTGCAGATGTTTATATCATTGTCTTATTTATTACATATTTATGTAAATTATATTTTGTATTTTATAATTACAGTAAATTATAGACAGATGTTTAAACTGTATTAATAAATCAACTCAACAATCAAATCAAGTACTTTATGTATTGCATCTAGTGTTGTTAGTTCTGTCATATGACGTCATATAACACTTTACATTACAGTTATATGACATGTAAAGAGTAATATAAAAATTTTATATTACAAAAAGTGTAATATAGCTCTGGCGCCATCTATTAAATAGGTAATTATGATATTGTAATTAACGCTATTATTTTTAAAATTAATTAAAACACTATTAAAATAGCCATATAAAAGTGTGTTTCGATAATCTATGGGCAATATAAGTCGTAAATGTATTGTAAATTTAGCCATAATTGCTAAATTAGCATTATTCAAGCAAAATTTGTATTTTCTATATTACACTATGTGACGTTATATGACGTCATATGACTGTAACATGTAATATAAAATTCTATATTACATGTAATTTACATTACTAATTGCATCGCAATTGTATGCAATCAAGTGTTGGTCCCTTTGATTCAAATGCTATGCAAAGGCTTTGATTGAGTGCTTTGTAAACAATGTTTTGATGTTTAATGAATTTGAATTGATTTTGCAGTGAATTATGGTTTTAAATGAAGTTATGATTAAAATTAATGACATTTTCGATGATTTAAGGCATGAAAACAATAGACTATTCAATGAGTTATTGTTTGCAAACAATTATATCAATGCTTTGAATGCATTCAAAGACCACTTGTTTGCCATTTATTGCAAATGCGATACTAATGTCACCGAAGAGGACAAAGAACTCACCACTGCTTTCACGGATCAGTTGAGGACAATCAGAGCTGTTCACCAAAAGAAGATTATAAACGATAAAATCCCGATTAGTGTTATCGATGTAACAGATGGACAGCAAACGAGTCGATCAATTGATCACAAAAAGGCGATACGAAAGACACCGGAAGAAGACAATGAAGACTCAGACGAGACATATGTTGACAATAACGACAAGAACTCGATGGAGAAGAAGCCGAAGACAACGATAGGGTCGATGAAAATCAAATTCAAAGCAAATAAGTCTAAAGTCGAGTCAAAAAGACTATTAAAAAACATGACTTATTTGACGGGAAAGTCGGCCAAACGGGTCGCCACTGACCGGTCGTTTCGGTGTCAATACGCGGACTGCGAGTCGTCCTTTCGGTACTCATCACTACTCGACCGACACGTGACCAAAATTCACGGCAATTCGGCGGCCGAAGCCGTACGACAGCAGAAGCTCGACGATCAACAATACTTGGATCCGATCGCCGGGGGATACGTGTGCCCACACGCGGACTGCGGCGGCAAATCATACGACACGCACAGGAAGTTTAGACAACACACGCGTCACGTTCACTCGTGCGAACAGTTCCCGTGCGGACACGACGGCTGCCACAAGACATTCAAAACGCTAAAACAAGTGGACGACCACCGGCTCACACACAACACCGTTAGGTCCCACCATTGCCCACATCCGGGCTGTTCGTACGCCACGCACGTCAAGCGATACCTCCGCCACCACGCGGTCACCCATTTGGCCGAACGGCCCGTCTATCGGTGCGAAGAAGCCGAATGTCAGCGTACTTTTGGGTCACAGCTCGGCCTTAAGAATCACGTGACGAGAGAGCACAGGTCGCCCACCGATACGACCGCATCGACAACGCGGCACACGTGTCCGCACCCGGGATGCGATAAGAGCTACTTCACGAGTACACACTTGCGCAACCATATGGCCACTCATTGCTCGGAGCCGACCCTACCCTGCGATCAGTGTTCAGAGCTGTTCCGCTCGGAGTGGTATCTGAAGAAACACGTGATAACTGTTCACCAAAACAAACCGTATGTGAAGAAACCCAAACCGATCCACGCGTGCGAATGGCCCGGTTGTGACTATAGGGGCACTCGAAACCGACTTAACCATCACAAGACTATTCATACGGGAGACAAGCCGTACGTCTGTGATTGGCCCGAATGTGGCAAACGGTTCCGCGTTATTACCAATCTTCGGGAACACAAGAATGTCCACTCAAATC